CAGAAGGATCGCTTGAGCCCAGGAGTTTGAGGTTGCTGTGAGCTAGGCTGACACCTTGGCACTTCCACCGGGCTATATAGTGAGACTCTGTCTCAATAAAAAAAAAAAAAAAGAATAGTGAGTTTTCATGGCTCATCTATAGGAAAGAAGCATAGGCATTCAACACGTACCTATTGAATGAATCAATGAAAATGTTAAAATGTTAGACATTAATATCTTGCAGACATTTATAAAAAAACCATATAAAATGCTACGTCCTTCTATTCTCAAATTGTTCAGCAAAATGGAAAATTCCAACCAGTATAATGGGAAATTCTAATCATTTGATTAGAGCCTGAAGTAGCGTATAAATTCTTTCCTATAAATATTTGCCAATCTACTTTATCTGCAAGCTGGCTATACTACAATATAGCATTACTAGTAACAGTAAGGTCATTATTATTAACAAGAATAAAAGACTTAAGTTTTGTAAAAATTTTAAGGTAAAACTAAATATTCTCTATTTATTGATTTGACATTACTAAATATAGTCTCCATGTAATCCACTTTAAATTTGAACCTAAGTGATATATCAGTTAAGGATGTGTTTGGCTGCAAATACCGGAGAACTCAAAACCAGAAATAGTGGCTTAAATTCCAAAGAATTTATTTGTTTCATGCAAAAAGAAGTGTGCAGTTGGCAGTCCTGACCTGGGTTGAAACATCATTCAGGGATGTCATTAGGGATGCGACTCATTTCATCTTTCTGCGCCCACATCCTTAGCTTGTAGACATTTATTTTCATGTTTATGCCTCATGTCACAAGTTGACTGCTGCACTCAAGACACCTGAAACTATTCAATCAGGCTTTGGCTTTTTATTTAGAAAAGAAAGTCTCTCCTGGCAGACTTTACCTTTAGCTCATTGGCTATCACTGTCCCATGGCCATTCCTACCTGGAAAGTGCTTAGAAAAAGTATTTGGACTTTCAGCTTCTATAATAGAGGAAGCAAAAAAGAGGATGGTTTGGAATGGATGTCGAGTGAAACAGAATACATCACAGAATATATCACAGTTACTAGTGAGATTGATTTTAAACAATTGGAAAAAAAAAATAAGATTTTCTCATTCTAATAATTTCAAGGCAACCCAAGTGGATTACACAAAAAAAGCATGTTTTTTCTTTGCAACGATTATTATTAAATATTAAACAACTGTATAAATGCCAAGTGTAAGTATTTGATTCTTCTGCTAGAATTCATAATAAAGCAGTTTCTAGCTATCTGACATCATATGCAATTTTACTTTTCCCTGGCTGGCACTGTTGAGGTTGCTAATCCTAGTGAACTATTTCATTTGCAGACCTTTAATTCATCCCTCTGTTTTCAAGCCTGTGTCTTACTTCCTCTCAGCAGTTTCTCAACGCCTGCCCTTTCTTCTGCTGTTTCTGGGGTTCTCAATTCCTGAATATGCCTGCCTTTCTACTCACCATTATTCCTTCTTCATGCAATTTACTTTGTGGCTGTCTCTGCCTTCCCAAATCTGTTACCATTCCTACAACCTCTTTCCATCTTCTGAAAAATGAGTTAAAATCTTGAGCTTTTTTGAGTTTTATAGAATCACAAAATGGTTGAATTGTGTGGTACCAAAGAAATCGCTTGGTCCACACTTTTTATTTTCAAATGTCTTCAGACCTGGGGAAATGTAGTCATGTAGTAATATCCAAAAGACAATATGGAGAAAGTTTCCAGGCTGTAGCACAGGGAGGGGAATCAAGGCAGAGCCCAGCAAACTCCCTGAGTTGAGAAAACTGAATTGGAAGTTCAGGGAAGCCAAGGTGGCTAGAGTTTACAACAAATAGTACTGGAAAGAAAAGGGCTGCACAGAGAGAGAGAGAGAGAGAGACAGACACAGAATTCTACAGTCTTCAGCTGAATACTGATCAGTATGTACATGTGAAGAAACTGCTGCAGGCCAGGGAAAGTA